GAAATTGTTGACCGATTGTTGAAGACAGCTCTATGAACGGCCAACGTCGGACATTGCAACAAATATTCATTTCGTACTTCTATATAAGTTACCTCATAAAAGTCTTGTACCTGTATAATAAAAAATTACTATTTTTTTCTAATTGTGAGTTTATTTATTTTTAAAAATTAAGTTTTGTTATAAGTATAACAAAAAAATTACTATTTTCTACTTAAGTTATATATTTATTTACGAAAAATTTTTTTTAACTTTGTTAAAATTTTTTTTAATTATATTTCTGTTACAATTTTAAGCCCCGAGCTTTAAGTTCATCCCATCGATGAATCCAATCGTTTGGACAAATAGATTGAAAAACTTGTTTGAACCATGCGCATGTAGTTGTTCCTTTTCCTAAAATTTTTTCACAACGATCGAAATCAGCGTACATTATAAAACAACGTTTCGTTTGATTCTGTTGTTGAAATCTGAATAAGAATATTGAAAATTATTTTTATTCAAAACACCAGAAAAGTTAATTATAATTATATAAATAAGAATAATAAATACCATCAAACTTACCTTGGATCTTCACCGAAAGTAACATCTGTAACTTCTTCTTTTTCTTCTATTAAATCTCTATCTTTAAGACATGGATCATCTTCATCTACTTCTATAATTATTTTTTTCTTCGGCTTTTTTTCATCATTTTCCAAATTAACAATATTATTCATATTATTTATATTTTTTTCTCGAAAAATAGTTTTCATTCTATCCATTTTAATGTTTTCATCAGAATTCATTTTTTAAATTCATATTTTAATTCTTATAAAATATGTTATTTATAATTATTTTATAAAACACGTACAATAAATCGAATTAAAGAAATGTGATATAAAGAATTAATATAGATGTGAATATTAATTAAGATATATTTTATTGTATTTTGACAATTTAATTTTTAACGTAATAAATATATATATTTATATATGTTTATATATAAACATATGTGTGTATATATAGAACGCCCTCTAGTATGCAAATATTTATTATCAATTTCTTATCATTTTCTCTATAAAATACTAAAAATCTAATTCATAAAATAAAAAAATTATTAAATTTTTTATTTTAATTTTAATTGTTTTTATTAAAAATTTCACATTTTTTTGTGGTTATTTTTTTTTTTAAATAGAAAAATTCATTGTCAATGAAAAGATAAACAATAAAAGTTTTTACTTAGTGTAGCCAACTATTCATAAACTTATACAAATTAACTATGAGTTCAACGGCATAAGTGGCGGTAGAAGAAATGAAGCTATGAAACAAGTCATATATGTGTTGTAAAGTATTTTTTGCTAGTATTTAAAAATATTATAATATTAAAATGATATCATTGGAATATTTACTTCTTTACATTATTTTATTTGTAATAATATGTATAATTATGGTACGTTTTTAGGTTAAATCATATTTATATGTTATTTAAATTTGTTTAAACGTGGCAATTTTGTCGTTTCATTAAATTTTTATTTAAAAAATATGTTATGCATAAATAATTATTATTATTATATATTACATATAAATAACTGTAATTATTTTTCTGAAATATTAATAAAATTAATTATATGCCTTTTCAGTTTTCTTTAACATTATTTATGATAACACAACCATATCCAGAAATATGGCGAGATGAAAAAGAAAAATATTTTTTAAATCTAAAAACAAAAAGTATAGAAGCTTTTCCATCTTATATGAAAAATGGAGTGTACATTTAAGTGTTGTAATACCAGCATATAATGAAGAAGAAAGATGTAAATATTGATTCATTAATAATATTAATTATAGAAACATGTATTCATTTATTTAATTTATAGTGCCTCTAATGTTAGATGAATGTTTGGAATATTTGGAAAAGCGATTAAAAAATGGATGTACTTACGAAGTAATTATAGTTAATGATGGAAGTTCAGATAAAACTATGGATATAGCTCATAAGTATGCATTAAAATATGAAAATATTAGAGTACTGAATCTTGTTAAAAATAGAGGAAAAGGTGGAGCAGTAAGACTGGTTTGTAATTTGTAAAATGTTATAAATTTTAAATTCTATAATTATTATTCATTTTCTATCATAATTGTTTTTATTTAAGGGTATATTAAGTGCAAGAGGAAGTGTAATACTTTTTGCAGATGCAGATGGTGCTACAAAGTTTAAAGATTTAGAAAAATTAGATAACAGTTTGAAAAGTATTTTAGGATGTAAGTTATTTTTTAAATTATAGATTATAATAATATATATTAATTATATATATATAATGTAAAAAATATTTTTCTTTCTTAGTTGATTATATAACTAAACCAAATGAAATTAGTTACTCTCATGCAATAGTATGTGGATCAAGAGCCCATTTAGAAAAAGAAGAAACTGCCAAAAGAACTTTTTTTCGATTGTTATTAATGCATGGATTTCATTTCTTAGTATGGTTTTGGGGTGTAAGAGGTATTAAAGATACACAATGTGGTTTTAAACTTATAACACGTGAATCAGCAAAAGTTGTATTTCAAGCTTTACATATTGAACGTTGGGCATTCGATGTAGAAATGTTATATATTGCAAGAATGTTAAATATTCCTATTACGGAGATTCCTGTGAACTGGACAGAAATTGAAGGATCCAAAATTGTACCTTTCTGGAGTTGGTTACAAATGGGGAAAGATTTATTTTTTATTTGGTATAAATATAGAATTGGAGCATGGAAAATAAAAAGATTTAAACGAATGTAAAAACAAATGCAACTTAAAATATTTATAAAAATTTCTATTCAATATACTTTGTTCAATATGTACTTTTATTTGATTCACATTTTTCCATTAAAATTAGAAAGATATCATATTTGATATATAAAAATATTTTTCCTTTGTAAGGAAAATTTATAAACGATTAAAACAATTTTTATTTTACATAATCATAGAGGAAACTATATTATTATTAATGTTTTTAAAACTATTTAATATTGTAAATTAATTTAATTAACAAGGTATATTACCTCTATTTTATATTTCTTCTTTTAATATGTTATAACATGTATCATAATTAGTGAATAATATTTTGTAAACAAATATTTTCGATTTAATTAATAAATTCATTAAAATTTTAAAAGAAGCTTCTAGTAACTTTTCTTCTATCTCTGATTAACTAGTAACTACACATATATAAATGACTATATATATGTATCTTATACATAAATACTACATATATAATGTAGTATGGTTCGTATATTTAATATTACACAATTTCTTATGGTATGACGTGTTTGTGACGTGTTTTATTTCTACGAAATTTTCTACGAATCCAATTTATATTAACATTAGTTAGTGTAATCAATTGTAAAGTGACATTAAGTAAAATAACGATTGAATATAATTATTTGAATTTTATACCTTATAAAGATAAACGTTAATTAAAAGATGTCATTTGTATCGCCTATGCCTAGTCAAGAATTCCTTTGGGATGTTTTTCAAAGGTATTTTAAAACTTTTTCATTATTTTTATTAACAGTGTTAATATTGAAATATAATTAGTAATATAATATAACTATATTAAATATAATATAAATATAGGTTAAATTCATTATTTAACTATAAATGAAATTCTCGAAAATTACATTGTATATTTCAATAAATATTTTTTAAACATTTTGTTATGATTTGTATATAATAAAAAAAAAAAGAAATATCTCAATAACATTAAAAAATAAAATATTTTATCAAAAAATCTTTCATATAGATTTGAAGGATTTTTGATTCTTTTATGATGTATAAACAAGAAAAAGAATAATAAAAAACTTTGTTATATCTTAATGATTTTGAATAAGTTGGGATAATAAGTTAAAAAGTTTTTAGTTTTATAGTCAATGTAAGATTGCAAATTATAGAGATACAATAATTTCTTTTCGATTTTCTTTTTTTTTCAAGGTCATAGAGATTGTTTCTTTTCATTTTTTTTATACTATTAAATAATATTTAATAAATTAAATAAATTTAATGAAATCTATCCTTTCCAAAAATTTTAATATATTAAATTCATAAAATTATAATATGAATATTTATTCATAAATAATTATAAATAACAAAATTTTAATTATTATTAATTATTTATTAAATATCACATATACAAAAGTTTAATATTCTTTAATTTGTATATTGTAGAGTTGATAGAGACAGATCTGGTGCAATTACTGCAGATGAATTACAACAAGCTCTTTCAAATGGAACATGGACACCATTTAATCCAGAAACAGTGCGTTTAATGATTGGTAATTATTGTAATTTTATTGTTTATTATAATTATGCAGATAAAATTGTAATATTAACTTTTTAAAAATCTTATATTAATTTTTAAAATTTTAATATGTTAATGTGTTAATATGTAAATGAATATATTTAACAGAACTTCTTGAGTAGATTCGCATGGTCTTACACTATTTTTAATATATCTTTAGTTCATTTTATTGATACAGGTATGTTTGACATTGACAAAACTGATCCTGATTCTTCAGGTATGTTCGATAAAAATCAAAAGGGAACAGTTAGTTTTGAAGAATTTGGAGCTCTATGGAAATATGTAACAGATTGGCAAAATTGTTTTCGATCATTTGACCGGGACAATAGTGGAAATATTGATAGAAATGAATTAAAAACAGCTCTTACAAATTTTGGATATAGATTATCAGATCAAATTATAGATACCCTTATACGCAAATATGATAGAGCTGGTCGTGGAACTATATATTTTGATGATTTTATTCAGTGCTGTGTAGTTTTATATGTAAGTATACATTTGAATAGAATTTTGATATAAATCATATTTTACATTTAAATTACTATAAATTAATTTTTTTTATCTTTTAGACTTTGACTGCTGCCTTCAGACAATTGGATACAGATCTAGATGGTGTTATTACAATTCACTATGAACAATTCTTAGGCATGGTATTCAATCTTAAAATATAAGTCATTTTTGTGCTTCATCAATGTTATTCTTGCCTACTTTGGCATTATGTTATTATACAAATACGAATTATTTGATGCCAAATTTGGAAATATGAATTTATTCATAAAAAAACTTTTCATATCAAAATTAAAATCTTATACATTCAATATGCTTATATGTAAATCTTAACTAAGAAATCATAAATAATCAATTGTATATATATATAAACATTCCTAAAAAATGTATACATATATCTAAATTTGATTATAAACATAAATATTTAAATTTTATTCTCTGTTTGTAGAAAAACGAAAATAATAAATATTTAATTATGTTGAAAGAAAAGGAATATTTAAAAAATAAATAATAGATTTTAAAAATGGAACATATTTCAGTTAAAAAAATATTGTCTATAAATTAAAAAGATTGTCTATAATATATATTTTTAAACAATAGTTTAAACTAATAGTTTTCATTAAAATGTAAAAAAAAACAAATGTCAATTATATATTAAAAATTATTTATCATATATATCTTTAGATATATTTTAATGTTTTAATACATTTTAATATGTATTATATTTTCTTACTGCAGCATTTCAAATGATATTTAAGTCTTATCTAAGTAAATAATTAAGAATTTGAAATTATTTTTATTGTATATTTTTAAAATATCATCATAAATGATTATTGTGTATTACTTCAAATTATGTACGAAATCTACATTTCTGTAATTTTCTATCATTATTAAATTAATTGCAAACATATATTTTAATTGAATATATTTTTATTTTTTTCATTCATTTATTCATTTTTTTTTTTTTTTTGCTTATGAAAAATATAAAAAATAAATTTATAAAAAATACGCAAGGATAATGAATAGAATTCATTTCTCGAATTCGCTCGATTATCAGTTCATATAATAATAATAATTTGAAATAGACGATACATTAAAATAAAAGAAAATATTTATACATATATAAAAAAAGTGATTTATAATTTACAATGGATTTAGAAAAATTCTGCCATTCTTTACCAAAATTGGTATGTAATCTATTTAATCTGCAACATAGAGGTTAATGTTTGTAATTAAAAAATATTTTTTCTGTATTTATAGGAACTTCATGCTCACTTGAATGGATCTTTAAGCGCGGATACTTTGAAAAAATTATACAAAATGCAAAATTCTGAAGTAGGAAATTATGAAAATATATTTATGGGCATGAAAGATTTTTCATCATTAGAGGAGTACGAATAACAATACAATTTTAAATTCCAATTTTAAAATGTGTTATATTATTATTTTATAAAAAACATGTATAATTGTTTGTAGATGTTTCAAAGTATTTGATATAGCTCATTCATTGACAGTAACACCAGAGGCAATTTTTCATGCTACTTATAACACAATTAAAGAATTCCAAGATGATAATGTAATATATTTGGAACTTAGAAGCACACCTCGTGCTATTCCTGAGAAAATGTCAAAACAAGAATATGTAGAAGCAATCATAAAAGCATTTGAGTAAATATAATTTAACTAAAATGTTTATTATTTTTTAAAAATCAAAATATTAAGAAATTTTTAATTTAGATTATTTTATAACTATAGAGTCTGCAAAATTGATTTTCCAAATATATTATTGAAGTTATTAATATCTGTTAATCGTAAGCAAGGATATAAAGCAGCACAAGAAAACATAGAATTAGCAATAAATTTTATGAAGAAATATCCACAATATATTGTTGGACTTGATCTCAGTGGAGATCCAATGACAGGAAGTATTTTTTTAGAGTTATTAAGAAAAGCTAGAATGGCTGGACTTAAAATAGCAGCTCATTGTGCAGAGGTGAAACTAAACAAATATTTAAATTAAAAATTAATTTGACTTTTTGATTAAATTAAATGTTTTCTTATTTATCTTATATAGGTTTCGAATGAAACAGAAACAATAGATATTCTTGAATTTAAACCAGATAGATTGGGACATTGCACTTGTGTTCATCCTACATTACAAGGAACGAATAAATTATTTAATCTGCTTATTAATTCAAGAATTCCTGTAGGTAAGAATGGAAAAATTATATTAATTTAAAGTTTGTTACTTAATTTATACAGAAATATATTGAATATTTTGTATTTATTTATTTTTTTTTTATCTAGAATTGTGTTTAACTTCAAATGTTCGATGTAAAACTGTACCTACTTATGAATCTCATCAATTTAAATATTTATTTGAAGCTGGTCATCCTATTTGTCTTAGTGTGAGTAAAATTATTAACATTTTTTGAATAATCAAATTTTAAAAAGTATATTTTATTTTTTTTAGACTGATGACAAAGGTGTCTTTCATACATCTTTATCTCAGGAATATAAAATAGCTAGTTCAACATTTAATTTAAGCCAAGAACAACTAATAAAACTTTGTTTATCATCCGTACAATATGCTTTTGTTACATCAGAAGAAAAAGAAATATTATTATCTAAGATCAAAAATTTTTATTGTAAAGAGTATACTATTAAAGAATGAAATTATAACGAATATAATAACCTAATAAAATTAATAAAAATCAAATATTTCAATTCTCAAAAAATTCGAATGTTTTAAAACTATGAAATGCATTCCTAAATGCAGAATATATCATAATTATAATAATTCAATCATAAAAGTTAGTAAAATTAACAAATTTTAAAAATAATTTCTTTTTTTATATATATATATAATATTGAATTGAATAGATATTGATAAGTTAATAAAAAAAAAAAAAAATGATAACTTAAATATCGGAACAGTCTCTTGAACGCATAAATTTTGCAAAGAAATATAGACAAAAAAAAGAGAAAGTAATAAACAAAAGGACAGAGATAGATTAAAAATTGTGAAATCAGCATCATTTTTAGAATGCCGCAGATAAAACATAAATATAGATAAGAAGAATAAATAATAGAAGAATAGAGATAGGATAAGAATTAACAGTCAACGCCATCTTAAGGCCATGTTCTATTTTCTATCTTTAACGACATGTCAATATTTCTATCCTTCTCTTATTATTTGTTCTTTTTATTTATATTTGTATTTCATCCGCAACACTCTAGAGATGGCGCTTCTCGTATTTCTATCCTCTTTCCATTATTTTCTTTCTTTGTGTATACTTGCTTTGCAAAATTTATACTTGAAATTTATGTTCGAAAGACAATCCAATGTCTGATAACCTTTATTGTCTTCTTTTTTAATCTATTGATTAAAAATCTTAATCAGAATTTTTTCGAACTAATTACATAGCTTGTTTCTGTTCGATCTAACAAACAAAATTCTTATAAAGATTAATAATGCAAAAAAATATTATGATCATATAAAGGAGAAATGAGATTATAGAACTATTGATATAAAAGTAACATCGATTTTATTCGTTATGATATTAATGGATTTACATGGATTTACAGATAATTAAGTTGCTACTTACGGAGATTAAAATAGTTAAATGTCATCAGGAGTTCCATGTTTATTTTGTCAAGATTGTATGTAGTATATACAACATTTATAATAATTATTACAATGTTATGTCTGTAAATGTGTATTCTTTTTTTTTTTTTATTTCGATATTGAAGAAAAAATTAGTAATACTTACAAGTCGGCATCGAACAGATAGTTCGATAAACTCTAACGATTATCTCCCTATCAAAATTACAATCGACTGATGAAACTATGTATAATGTTGCATGTAATTTCTTTTTGTTGCTCATTTTATGATCGATATAATGATTTCATGTTCTCCATAATCGATTAAAAAAAAAAAAAAAAAAAAAAATAGAAAGTCGAATTTTTTTATCATATGAAAAGAAAAGATTGAAAAGATTAAAACGTATTGCCAACTTTAAAGTGAGCAATGAGAATGTTTCCTTTTTTATACTAGATCAAGTGTTTCAAATAAAAATGGGTCAATTTTTTACGATTACATAAAAAAAATAGGGAGCAACAAGGATTCCTTTTTTTTTTATAATTTTGATGCGAACGTTCTGTTTTTTTCTTTC